GGAGTCCACATATTGAGCAGTTCTTATATTCTTCCCTGTTACAATACTCAGTGGGGGGGATAATTCAATTTCTAATTAAAATACGTAGAGCATACTGGAATTAATCATATTATTGGACTTGTCAAAAACATTTGTGCACAAATAGATGATATAATCGTTTTTAAATAGTAGATGATGTCTTTCATCGGCGGTACTTATACTTACACCTGACTGTTCCAGTCTGTATACACAACTCTTAATGCCAAGCAAGTAGCCAATCACGAAGTCAATGGATTCGACTAGTTTGAAAAAGAATGTTTTTCTAAAGTCCGGACATCCCAGTGTTAAAGAGTTATCAGGCTGTTATACTTTTATACCTAAGGATTTTAGATTTTAATTGCAAATAATAGAGTGTTAATTGGTGTTAAATGAAATTATCGGTAATTTTACACGATTCGACTAAACCCTCCCACCAAGCAGCAAGGCTGAGAAGCAAATAATTTCTTACCTTTCTAGTTTCCTTACTGAAAATTATTTGTATGTGTAGGGTCCTTCTTTCAAAACAATTCTTCAAATATCTGTAATATGCTAAGATCGATGGTGGTGCGTGCGTGGCTTAGTTGTTAGTGTGCAGGATTGTAAAATGAAAAAAACCAAGGTTTGCGCCGCAATGCCGCTAAATATGTACTGCACTTTAAGCTGTGGGCGCGTTATCAGAGTGATAATCAATCCTGTTATATTGGGTTCAAAGCAGGACAAAACTCTTATGGTGGCGGGTGTTACTAACTGGCTGCTTTCCTGTCAGTCATTAGATCAAAATTAGAGACATGAACCTTTATGGTTTCCTAGCCGTTTAGTTCATATGAACAAAAAAGGCACTGATGAAGTCAATAATACCAAAACAATAGGAAATATTTCTTATCAGTAGTTAGTGCCATAATTTTCTTAACTTTCTATTTGACCACCAATAAAATATATTCAAATACAATTCAGTCTTAAGGTAGGACCGACTGCATTTCTTACCAAAAAATGCCCCCAGTGGCTCAGCGATAAGCCTGAAGGTTTATATCGCTAAAACCAGGTTTCGATACCCGTAGTAGACATAGCATAGAAACAACGCAACCCAACTTTCAGATACAACATAACCATACTTTTAGATACAACATAACCATATTTTTGATATAACATTACCTTACTTTTAGATACAATATAACCCTACTTTTAGATACAACATAACCATACTTTTAGACACAACTTAACCTACTTTTAGATACAACATTACCTTACTTTTACATAAACATAACCCTACTTTTACATACAACATAACCTTACTTTCAGATATAAGTTTTAGATACATAGAACATTACCTTACTTTCAGATACATGACTTTACTTTAAGATACAAAATTACCTTACTTTCAGATACAACATAACCATACTTTTAGATATAACATTACCTTACTTTTACATACAACATAACCCCACTTTTATATACAACATAACCCTACTTTCAGATAAAACACAGTCTTACTTTCAGATACAACATTACCATACTTTTAGATTTAATATTACCTTATTTTTACATACAACATGACCTTACTTTTAGATACAACATGACCTTGCTTTTAGATATAACATTACCTTACTTTTACATACAACATAACCCTACTTTTATATACAACATCACCTTACTTTTAGATACAACATTACCATACTTTCAGATACAACATGACCTTACTTTCAGGTACAACGTAACCCTACTTTTATATATAACATAACCTTACCTCTCGATACAACATTAACTTTACTTTTACACACAACATAACCCTACTTTTATGTACAGTATACACTTACCTCTCGATACAACATTACCATACTTTTAGATATAACATAACCATAAATTTAGATATAACATTACCTTACTTTCAGATACAACATGACCTTACTTTCAGATACAACATAACCCTACTTTTATGTATAACATAACCTTACCTCTCGATACAACATTAACTTTATATTTACATACAACATAGACCTACTTTTATATACAGTATACACTTACCTCTCGATACAACATTACCATACTTTTAGATATAACATTACCTTACTTTTACATGCAACATAACCCCACTTTTAGATACAACATAACCCTACTTTCGGATACAACAAAACCCTACTTTTAGATTCAACATAACCTTCTTTTAGACACAACACAACCTTACTTTTACATACAACATGACCTTACTTTTAGATACAACATGACCTTGCTTTTATATATAACATCACCTTACTTTTACATACAACATAACCATACTTTTATATACAACATCACCTTACTTTTAGATACAACATTACCATACTTTAAGATACAACATGACCTTACTTTCAGATACAACATAACCCTACTTTTATATATAACATAACCATACCTCTCGATACGACATTAACTTTACTTTTACATACAACATAACCCTACTTTTATATATAACATAGCCTTACCTCTCGATACAACATTAACTTCACTTTTACATACATCATAACCCTACTTTTATATACAGTATACACTTTCCTCTCGATACAACATTACTATACTTTTAGATATAACATAACCATACTTTTAGTTATAACATGATCTTATTTTCAGATACAACATTACCTTACTTTCAGATGTAACATGACCTTACTTTCAGATACAATATTACCTTACTTTCAGATACAACTTAACCTACTTTCAGATCCAACATGACCTTACTTTTAGATACAACATGACCTTACTTTTAGATACAACATTACCTTACTTTTACATACAACATAACCATACTTTTATATACAACATTACCTTACTTTTACATACAACATAACCATACTTTTATATACAACATTACCATACTTTCAGATACAACATGACCTTACTTTCAGATACAACATAACCATACTTTTCTGTATAACATAACCCTACTTTTATATATAACATAACCTTACCTCTCGATACAACATTAACTTTACTTTTACATACAACATAACCCTACTTTTATATACAACATCACCTTACTTTTAGATACAAAATTACCTTACTTTTAGATACAACGTTACCTTACTTTTACATACAACATAACCCTACTTTTATATACAACATAACCTTACCTCTCGATTCAACATATACGCTATGAATTGTATTTGTTGTTACGCAAAAAGCTGTAAAACCTAGCCACCGGCGCTGTTGGGATCATATTTCAATATTTTTCGTTATAAGCCCTCAAGTTTACTGTGGGGCATTCCATGCCATCTCGAAATTGATGTGTTTTTGTATTTCGGGTTTGTTCCTGGCCTTTTCTTATTGGATCATAACTTGGAGAACATGCCTATCTTCCTCTTTGTTTCTGTAACAAGACGTTGCATTTTTTTTCTCAAAGTTTCAGACTTTCTCCGTAATAAGTCACTTTTCCGTTTGTCAATTTTTAGCATCGTGATTTTCGATATTTTTGATCACTTTCAACTCATACTGAAGTAAAAAAAATATAGTTGTGTAACTTAAGAAGATCGAATTACTGCAAAAATTCCTGCAAGTTTGTATGCAACGAACTCCGTACGAAGCACTTGCGATCCCTTCAGTCACAGAACAATTCAGTTCGTAGCGTACTCTTGGATTTACGACCAGAAAAAGTCATTTTCTTCTGAAATATCACGACGATTCTCCACTAGGAAGACTCACTTTGAAATTCTGCATTAAACTCACTTTACTACAATTTTAGAAGTTTTATTAAAAAAAATATTTTCGTTGGTAATAATAAATGTACAAAATTAATTGGCATTATTGATATGGAAAGAAGTACCATTTCAACATTAAGGAAGCGATTTAGGAAACATGTGTTATAAAATATGGTCCTATTACTTCTAGCCGTGGCATAGCAGCTCATAGAATGGCTCCCAATTATTTTTTCAAGTGCAACCTTTGAGCTCATAGCTCCGTCATTTCTTCACCGATATGAGATCTAATTATAATTTTGGACTGAATAGGTCAAACCCTTTCGATTGATGATTTGACCACGCCCGAAATATCATAGAATTTTTTTACTCTAATTCTGCCTAAAAGAATTTTAATTTGAGGGCAGGCTGGTAGAGATCCCGATGAGTATTAAAATTGAATTGGGTATACTAGCGCCCCAGGCTTGGTATTGCTGGCGCATAAAAATAGATTGCTAATAAAAAGAAAAAAAAAGGTCTTATAGAGTAATTTACTTTAATCGTTCCTAAAAGAATTTCAAGTGCGGCGGCTATTGAGGACTCCCTCTTCTTTTAATTATAGCGAGAGTCTATTTTATAATATTTTTCATTTTGGTGTAATATAAAGCTGTTACTGATTTATTTCTTAAAAAAAAAAAGTGGACACATCCACTAAATAATATTTTTGTATTTATAAGAGACCCAATTGTAATGAAATTTTGTTAGGAATTTCTTATGATGATATTGAAAAATCGTGCGAAGTTTCATCCAAATCAGACTTAAACTGCAGGAGAAGTTTTGCGGGCAGATGGACATTGACCTCTTATATATATAGCTTGCAAGTTTTGCTAAATAAATGATATATATATATTAACCCAGAAGTTTGATATTATAAATAACTATATTTAACCACGAGTTTTGACATTTTAAAATTGTTACACAAAAAATGGGTTTAGGGAAACAGAATGATTTTCTATTCACAGTATATTGTGGTGGAAAGGCCCCAGTTTCGATACCTGTGGTGGGCAGAGCGCTTAACAACAACAGACAACAGTAATAGAAAGAGACTTTGCCGTCCAAACAACGGCATGCGTTCGAGAGTACAATATGGCAACAACAAAAAAAAAAACTGCTTAAGTATTAGATATTAGACTTAACACTCCTGGGCCCAATAGGATCGACAGAACTCTCTGATTTGGCTCACTTACTACTGGCGCGAGCTCAAATGGGTCACTGTAATAAATCGTGTCCATTGTGTTTAAGAATGTGTGTAAATGTTATAAAACACTAAACACCAAATAGTATTTCATACTGATTTATTTATCACATTTAAACAATTTACAACGACAATAATAAAACACGTCAACTGCTCAGCACTCTTGTGAGTTAGCCAGTATCTCTTTTTTTTGTTGTTGGTCAAAACAAATTTTACAAAAAATGTGTACACAAAAGTTGTACAAGGGTTCAGTTGGTTCATTAAGATACAAAAGTTAAGTGTTAAGTACACAAGAATATTTAATTACCTAGAGTTCCTATTTCAAGTGCTTTTTTCATGTTTAAAAACGGATATACATGTAATTATATTGTGTACTACATTCATTAAATACAATAACTTTCCAACAGGTGGCTTCTAGGTGGAAAATAAAATTTATCCTGACAAATAATATAATTTGACCCTGTATCCCTCAAAGAAAAACTACTGTGGCAGTTGTGTGATACTTTAAATTTAGTTTATATACATTTATTATTGTAAACAAAATATTAAAAGCTGTACAAAATGTGGAAGAATAGTTATATACTTTTCACATGGAGATAATGTGTTCATAAACGTGTCACAGTGAGAAAAGACTTTGGAAGAAACTGTACCAGAAAGAGGAATATAGTGACGACGGTACACCAACAGTTTGTTCAACTTTTGGCACTAGTTAACGACATTACGTCATATTATGCTGATAATCTGAACATATTTGTTCCTTTTCCTTAGATGGTTGGTCATCGAACTCCTTGAAACTGCGGTTTTTTAATATCAATGTCCGTAAACTAGCCACTTCTGTGGCTAGTCTCTGCAGCTCGGACCGTAGCTGAGAGTTTTCGGCCTGCAACAGCTGGCGGTCATGAGAGGGTGTTTTATGAGAAGATTTTCGTGGAGATCGGTGTTTACAGTTGGTATCGGCGGAACTGAGGCTGACAGAAGAAGGATTATCGTTACTGCCAGTGCTGTCCCAATCAGAAGAAACTGAAGAAGTGTCCTCCCGAATGTCTTGTCTGCTGCTCAGGCCAATGTCTTGTCTGCTGCTCCGGCCATTGTCCGTTGGGCTAGGTGAGTTCTGATGAAGTTCGCGCTCTCCGAGACGAGTCTTATGTCGCAGCTTATGTGGTAAGGAGAAATGAGGGCTAGAGTGCCCACTGGCACTCGTTTGAGGACTATCTTCTGTTGATGAACAACAGCTGGAAGAACCTGTGGACTCCTGATCAACAGGAGAGCTCCGTACAACTGGAGAAGCAATGGGTAGAGTATCTTCTAGCGTTGGACAACTACTGACTTTGAGTTCGGTGCTCGAATTTGATTGGATGGAAGAGAGACTGTTGCTACCACTAGTTGAGTAACCACTGTCGTTACTGCTTGTCATTACAATTGGCACTTGACCCATTTGGGATGGATGGGAGATTGGCTGGAATGATAAAAGAGAGAGGCTTGAGATGGATATGTTTGGGCTGTGAGTGTAGGAAGTGGTAGTGCTGCCCATTGTTTGGCAAATATTCGGCACGATTGTGGGCATTGGTTTCACATGTCTTTCACATAGCTCTGGAGGGGAAGAAGAAACAGGCAGAGAGATTTGTTCAGAATTGATCATTTGCTGTGGCAAAATCTCATATTTATCTTTAATAGCTCCTAACTCGGCTCTAAGAATGGCATTCTCTTTGGTCAGCTCCAAGATTTGGGTTTCCAACACCAAGTCATTTATTCGACGTTTCTGCCGGGATCTTTTAGCTGCTTCATTATTCCTTCGCCGTCTATCCCAATAGATGGCGTCTTTCTTGGAGTCTGGAATGAACTCACGCTGCTTCCTCGCCGAGAAACTTTTTCCGGGGTTCAAATGGGCAGTCAGATCTACTGGTACATTCACTTGGTGAGGCCAGCCATCAGTCTGACAGGTAGGAGAAGAGACAGGGACTGCACCCGGTGGTGGTTCTCCCTGAAGAAGGAATCGAGGTAGTTCTTGGAGTCGGAGTTGTTTAGGCAAGGGCTCACTTTCTGTCAACATACTGTTATTATCAGAATTCGATCTGTAAAATATAATAAAAACTGATTACAAATTATAAAACAAAACTAAAAATGTTAATGTAGCAATGGTACTAAGACAAATATTAATACATGTATATAAACATAATATCAACCGCAAACTAATGAAGTCTCACATCCACAAGCCACAGACTAATCTAACATAACCAATTAAAAACGCATACAGTGTGTTTTGTCGCTTCATTGATGCCAAAGTATTTCAGCTTTTGATATTCTAATTCGATTACAAGTCATCGATATGTTACACCAACAACTTTTCCAAAAATATCAATCTTTGGTCAGAAATTAATACCCTGAAAAATAAAATAAATACAGGTTAGATTAAGCTGTTTAAATGTGATAAAGAAATATGTTGTACGGAATGAATAAGTGTAAGGTTGTGCATTTTTATACTACTAGATGACAGCATATGTCACCTGTTGCAGTGCGCGTGTTCTGACTATGTAACTGATATAATAGACCTATTAATCATTCATAAGATAAACAACATGCTCCTGCTAGTACTTTTTCATATTCTAAAAGTTGAATTTGACAAAATTATCTGACATTAAAAACATAATAATAGGTGGTTATTAATTTAAAAACGATCAACTTGACATGTTAGTGAAACTCTGCAAAAATCTACCTTAAAGAGTTGACGAAAAGAAAATGTTTTAAACAAACTAAAAGAGAACAATTTTGTCATCACACACATGGTTTCCACTGCCATGAGTCACAACCTCGATGCTGTTGACAATAAACTCCTCCTTAATCTACAGTCCCTAAAACAGTAGCCTTTTCTATCTGTCTGTTTAAACGCAGTGCTATATAATGGGTCTGCTTGCGGTCTATTCGCCGCTGAGAATCGAGCCCCGGTTTCTACTAGCATTTGCACTTCTGTAAACTTACCGCTGACTCAACGGGGAGCACATGCTTCACGAATCTCTATCTTCATGATTGGAGTTCGAATATTAAGTACTAGTTACATCTAAACCCACTACCGAAATGGGGCGGCGCTCGAGGTAGTTTAACCAAACACACACCTACATAACATCTGGAGAGAAATATGTATGCTAAGTCCTCTGACAACAATTCGTATTGAAACAGTGAAGTGCAAGAGCACGTGAAAACTGAGGCACGTGAGTCGCGATTCACGCGCCGCCATCAACTTACGTTCATCGCTAAAAGAACTTCTATTATTAGCCTTTTTTTAAGGCTAATAATCTATTTAATCTATACATTTTATTAAATTAATAAGGATGGAAAGGCCGTTTTTAATTACTGTTAATATTTGGTAGAGTGATGGTAAGTTAGAGCATATACGTAAAGGCACAATAATAATAAAGGTTTTTTCGGTCGCTTAACACAAAACCATACCTGATCAAAATGTTCTCACAAGCAGCTTGTGGCATGAGTGACTCTAGCCACGCAAGATTAAACTAAGAAAATCAAAACTACTGCCTCTGACAAGGATTCCGTCCCATCTAACGCTCAGTAGGGCGAGTTGACCACCTTGTACGGTAATGTGACCTAGATTTGGGAACACGCTGCTTCCGGACAGCTAGTGATTTAGTGACGTATTTAAATTTGGAGAAGCCGAGTGAAAAGGGGTCAGGGGTAGAAAATCATGTCAAGGTACATGAAAAACACCTCCAACTCCCTCTCACTCTCAATTAAATACCACTTGAAATTGCCAATTATGCTCTGGTTCTGGAATTATGTAATAACGAAACACTTACGACACACCAGAATAAAATTTTTACGAGATATGTGTTACATATCCATACATATACATATTGTTTTGGTGCTTTATATGTAGGCGCGGCATGGCCAGGTGGTTAGGGCGCTCGACTCGCAATCTGAGGGTAGCGGGTTCGAATCCCCGTCCCACCAAACATACTCGCCCTTGGGAGCGTTATAATGTGTCAGTCAATCCCACTATTGGTTGGTAAAAGAGTAGCCTAAGAGTTGGCGGTGATGACTAGCTGCCTTCCCTCTAGTCTTACACTGCTAAATTAGGGACGGCTAGCGCAGATAGCCCTCGTGTAGCTTTCCGCGAAATGAAAAAAACAAACAAACAAACTTTATGTGTAATACATGGTAAGCCACCGCCGGACGTACGCAGATGGGAAGCCTGCGTTCCCTGACGTTTAATTTTAAAAATTGAATATACACAAGCGCTGCCTCAGATGAATAAACTAATATAGTGTCTAAAGTGACTCTTAACCGAAGGCAGTTTAATAATGTCTTGAAGGGAGTATTAATTATTTTTAACTTCCCACCAGAACAAGCTAAACTGAAAAAAAAAAGAAAAGGAAAGAAAAAATCAACCTAATAATGAGTACATGTTGTTAGGCCTAAACACAAGCGTCGAATGACAGACTGGGCTTCATATTTATTTCTGGTATTCTAAACATCTTGTCTAGTGACTAATTCAGAAGAATATATTAGTGGCATCAATGCTACATATTCTTCAAAACCTACACACACACACACACACGCATATATATATATATATGTTCAATGTGTTGAGTAAAGACAACTAAGGACACCATACGCATCAGCTGAAATAGTTAGAAAAAAAAAGGTTTACAAGTACTGTTTGTTTGGTTCCCATTGTCTAATAGTAATAAGCACATTATTTTTCTGTATCGTGCGACTATACTAATTACAGTAGTTTATGATCAGTGATTAAAAACTGCTTTATTCGCCAAGCCTAAAGTAAGGTTCTTTACATCAGTGAAGGAGATGACGCACGCACGCATTATCGTGACGTATGAGCTAGAAATAGCAAACTTTAATACTTCAGTATAAACCTTTCTATTTCGTCACTTTCGCCGTCAAAGGTGATAAACATTGTACTAAAATCAAATTTTAGCGTTTAATTCCTCATCAACAGTACAGCAGAATTTCATCAAGAAATTATTTACATAAAGCCTCGGATGTGAGAAAACACTATGACTAATTTTTAAGTTACATTGCTTTACTAAAAGGTTTGCAACAATATTTTGTTTTAAAAATCGACTAAGATCCCTTCTGAAATATCTGATACATGACATAAAAGCAGAAAAGGAAATGGGTTTTAGGGACTAGGTACACGCTTAGAAGGAGCAGTAGGGTGATAGGTATAAAATAACAAACAGAAAAGATAGGACGTTCTGATTTTATATTCTAGCTTGTCAATATCGACAATTTGAGTTCCTAATTCATAAGAAACTTTAGACTTTGTATCTGGACATCACAAACATTTAATTTGAACCAATGCTGCATTCAACCTACCACGTGAAACACAAAAACAATATTTAACTGTGTTTTTTAATATTTACTTTTAAATTAAGAAATTAACTAATGCATAATACAAACATTTGAATTATAATCTACAAATTTATACCAAACTTATTGAAATGTATTCATAAAATAGTAGTTCAATAAAATTTTCAATGCAAGTCAACAAGCGCCATGACATGGACTTTTATTTGTGATGCTAGGATTTAATAAGCATCTTCAGTAGTACTAAATTTGACCAATGGAAAATATAATGCAAACTGAGAACTAGGTACACATCGTGTACCCCAATTTCCATCGTAACTGCATAAAAGGCACAGTCGCTGCACCTGTTTTCGTATGAGATATTTAGGAAGTGAAAAAGGAATCTTACCTGGAAACCGTGCCCGTGAAAGATCCAGTTAAATACGGTAAACACTTATGTAGCTAACGTAAAAAATAAGTACAACAGAATAGTTTTCAATGTGGTTTGTAAGAAATGTTAAATCCTGATTTTCAACACAACAACAGGAGAGAAATATCAGAAGACCGTACTAAAGAAAACAATCAGTATTGTTGGTTTGAAACTACAAAAAACCCTTGCGGTGACGAGGAGACACGAGACTATTGTGAGTACAGCAATGTAACGTCCAAGTGATCTCGGGATAGAAAGCCTTTGTCACGTAACAGGGAAAAAATA